GTGTGACCTCGTAGTACGTGCGACACTCTCTCAGGGTGCCACTTCAGTAACAAACAATAGTACCAAGATGACAGTAGTACTCTGTGTGATTGTTATCTGGATGAAGTGACACTTTGCAGATCTCATAGAGTAGTGCTTGATGTATACACATTTTAATAATAATAATAACCATTATTTTTATTGTACAAATACCTAAGGTACCTGCCCAAGATAGATACTTAGTAAATAGTAGCTAAGCATAGCAGCCATTCTTCAATGGGAAATCAAATCTGAGACATAAGGGAAGGTTAAATCACATGGCAAGGCCTGGTCATGCCAGAGATGTCCTGCACTTCACTATCAAGCCTGTCCTATGGGACAAAGTGAGGCAGATTGACTGCGTGGATGTGAGCTGCTTCCCAGCCCATGTTCGGTGCTGTCCCATCCTCAGCTAAGCATTTGGGTAATGTAAGAGCCTTTTGATCTCAGCAGAGATCTGTGTGCACATGCAGGTGCCTGGCAACACTGAGCTGCACACCAGCACTCTTGCTTACAATTGAAGCCATCTTATCAATACCTGTGAGTGTATACCTGGTAGACCAAAACTACCCAGGTCAAGAAGGCTGATACTTGAATTCCAGACTTGCAGACACAGCTCCGTATTCCATGGCCCAGAATCACATTCAAGTACAAAATCAAATCAAGCATTTATTGGACACAGTTGTAGGACTCTGGAGTGTGGGTTGGGCTTGCATTCAGCAGAAATTTGGGGGCTTGCCCAGAATGGAAATTTGTGAAATTGTAGCTAAGGACAGTTTTTAGGGTAAGTGTTTGTGTGCCCTGATGGGAGTGAACAAATTTTCATGGTCCTGCATTGGTATCAGAGAGATATTCACATTCTCTGTAAATACCTTCCACTGCTCTCAAGCGGTAAGCAGGCATATGCCACTGACTTGTCAGGCAACACAAAGATGACAGATAACTGACACAAACTTCCTGAAACCTAATAGGCTCTCAACACAAGATGCTCTGTTTTTATTATTGCTCCTACTATTCTCATTCCACCTAAAAACTGTCCTTATTATTCCTAAACATGCAGACCAAAGATTGCATCCACTGAAGGTATCAAACCATCTTTGTTTTCTGTCATCTCATTCCATTCCAATACCTTTGGTGAGTACCTTTCACATGGTGTGTAGAATCTAAGGCTTATTATCAGAGCATAATATGAATGAAATGAGGAAACAGCCTGGCCACAGATGATGCAGAACGGGGTTATACTGTCGTGCGGATCACCTGGAAGTAGACTATACCCTGATCTACAGATTACAGGTAAAGTTTCCTTTCTGCTACAAGCAGTGGATTAGCTCCACAGAGGAGCTGAACCTCAACATCCTCCCCTAATATGGTGAAATCAATGGTCCTCAATTACAGACGTGTAGGTTCAGATCTTGGATCTGTTTTTTGAACTGTGTCATCTGGAGCAAATAACCTTGTTGAATCTCGGTTTCTTTGTCTGTAGAATGGGGGTAATTATAGGATCTGCCTCAGTAAGGTGGGGAAAGAAATAATGAGGGAATCCCTGAAAAGCACTGAAACAGAGTAAATCACCTTCACTACATTATTACAAAAGGGAGTCCACTCAGCCCTTCATCTGAAAAGCATGGCATTCTTTCTTATTTTGCTGACTTATGGCTAAATTGGTCTTATCTTACAAGTAATACTTTCATAATAAGTTGGATCCACAAAATTATCAATATAAGACCAATTTTGACCTACAAAAATGGCAACTTCATAACTTCAGAAGCACCCTCTTCTGCAATGTCATTTGACTTCTGTGAGTACTGGCTCTGCTAAGCCACCCTCCCTGGCTCTTTTCTCTAGCTCCTCCTCCCCTGCTCCACAGGGTGCTAAGACATGGTCATGCTTGGTGCCTGGTGCTGTTTGGTCCATGGGTATGCACATGGCATAATGGAACTAAGAGTCCCTTCCCTGAGACTTCATTTATTTATTCAATTTATGTTTTCAGTGGAGCCCTAGAGAGTCTGGCCAGCCTTTCTATAGGAACTGAAATTGTTGGGTATTCCATGCTGGAGGAGTTGACACTGTGTTTTCTACCATTCACTTATCCACTTGATATTTACTGTGCACTTCTTGTGCTCTAGGCCCTGCATTGGGTGCAGAAGGTACAAAAACCAACACATTCAAACATAAAGTCCTTAGCATCAACAAACTATTGTACTGGGACAGACAGAAAGTAAACAAGAAGACAAATAAATACCTAAGTTACGGCAGAGTGTGGTAAATTCTGTGCGTGGAGACCATATAGGAAGAGCCAGAATGCACTGACAGAGGAGAATGCACCAGTGCACTGATAGAAACAGGAAGCAGCAGTGGGAATTTGTGTGTCTGGTTGCAGCAGTGCCTGAGGACCAGCTTTCTCACTGCCTGCCCTCTGTCTTACTTACTCAGCAGTTCCTCAGGGCCCAGGGAGGTCAAGGCATTGCTCTCATGGGTGCAGTGATGTGAATGAGGTTGTCTCTCATTTCTAACATGGCGGTCTAGATTGGAGCATTTATCCTTTCCTGTTTAAGTAAAGCAAGGAAGAACTTCAGGGAAATGGGAAAGTGGTTCTGAAATTCAAGTTGCACAGAGTCCTTTTGTGATATATAGTTTAGGTGTAATTCATAAATAATTGGGATGTTGCAGGAGATTAAAAATAATCATCAGCTATAACCAGGTCATTGCTGTCATCATGGCCTTTGATAGTTTCTTACGGTCAGTAGTATGGAAAGAGAGGACCAGAGCAACAGATCTCACCTTAGATGTTGAGATGGAGGCCCAGAGCATGTACATGACATGCTTGAAGACATACAGCTTGAGAACAGCTGGGTGAGATCTGAATTCGGGGCTCCTGATCCTCAGTCTATGAACAAGTAACTACTGACTCACCCACTCATTCATTCATTCATTCAACAAACATTTTGAATGCTTATTATGTGTCAGGTCCTATTCTAGGTCTTAGGGTCACAGTGGTTCTCATTTTTATAGTTTTATTCATTATGGAAAGAAGAACAATAAAAAATAGAAAAAACTCTAATGGTGCACGTTGGGAAGAACCACCAAGATGAGATGAGGGATGTGTCTCTATATAAGTGGGGTGAGCTGTGATATTCTAGACTGAGTGGTCAAGGAAACCTTCTCTGGAGAGGTACCACTAAGTTAAAAACCAAATGACCAGAAAAATCTACCTCCTGAGGATGTGAGGAAAGAGTTTATCCATGAACGGAGACAGTTGATGGAAAAGCTCCCATGCTGATCTACTTAAGGGACACAAAGGTTTGTGGGGAGTTGTCGGTGAGCAAAGGTGTGGGAGGGCGCTGACGTTGACTTGGAGTTGGGGGGTGAATGCGGATGGTGGGCTTTGGGGACTAAGGAAAGAATTAGATTTTGATCTTTATCCAAAGTGCAGCAAAAATCCATATGGGCAGTTTTAAATAAAAGGAACAACGTGACTGAATTCCCACTGATCCTGACCACTTAGTGGGCAATGGAGAGGCAATGGAGAGGCAATGAAGAGCCAATAACACAGGCAGGAAGGCTGAAGATCCACATTCAAGGAACAAGGAGGAGGGTTGCAGCTAGAGCAGGAAGGAGTTGCGAGCTGGCTAAGTGCCGGGTTGGGCTGCATGGGACCTGGACCAACAGCTGAATCCTCAGCAGATGGGTTGCTTCCAGCCATGGGTAACTGGGAAAGGTGAAAGTGAGGGAAAAAAATACGTTAATTCTGCTTTGCATCTCTCTCAACACTCTTGGGCCACAGTAGTGCTACATCTAAGGCAAACAATTTGCAAAAATAAACCTGAAAAAAATCTAGAGGGATCTTTGGAGGACAGAGGCCACTGAGGGCTCTCAGGTGCCAGCCTGGTATCTGGTTCCCTTGTCACTCACTAATTAATCAGTGTGAAAAGCCTAAAGTAGTAATTACCATCACTGCCAAGGGTGGAGAGGCACCCAGAAATCTACAAGAGGTTCTTGCTAGCACTGGAAGCAACGAGGTCAAACCCCACTGCAAGGCATGCAGAAACACAGAAATGACACGCAGGTCTGGAGGCAGTGAATAGCTTTATTTTACACCAGTGGTCCTGGCCAGCTTGCTTCCAATAACAAAGAAAGCCAGACCACCCCATTGGTCTGGGGTTTTTATAGGCTTTCACAGGCAGGAAGTACAGAGGCAGAACCGTAGGTTCTTGATAGGGCAGGGCAGGTCCCATGACTTTGGGGAACAAGTGGGTTGAACTGGAAGTGGAAACATAGTACCCAAGACTTTGGCGTGGATGAAGAACCGGGAAGTGAATTGCAGGCATCCATGAACAAGTGAGGAGGCCATATTATATGGGGCAGCTTGGAAAAAATAAAAACAGAATAAAAGGGGCTTTTCTGTTTTGACCAGGAGGAAGATTCCAGCCTGGGGCCATGCACTTGTGCCACATACCCAGAAAGGAGCGAAGTTATCCTGAGCTGGAAGTGGAGAAGAGGCAAGCTTATGAGCAGTGTGCTGCTGAGAATGGTAGATCAGCATGTTATCCACAGTTGAGGAGTAGCACCATGTGAGGGAGCTGGGAGGAAAACAGGATCATCATTCATTCATCCATTCATTCACTCACCCATACATTCTCTGAATGAATCCTTACCCAGCCTGATCTGTGTATAAACCTGTTCTATGTACAGCACTCAGTGATGCACAGGACCGACCCACGGAGCTCATGGTCTGGCCAGGGAAGACAGTTAATAAATAAATGTGTGTCAGAGCCAGATGAATACCACTGAGAAAAACCAGCAGTTTGCGAGCTCTGTGCACTTGGGACACGTGCTTGCTGTGTTATGAGGCCTGGCTGTCCAGAAACCAGGTTCTTTGCCCAGCCACTAGCGGCTTCCACACCAAGGAGGCCTTCCCTGTTTGTCTGGCTCCCCACCCTGGAGCCCAGTGCTCTGGGGTGGGGAGGGCAGAGTGAGGTCACAGAGGCAATAGGGCCGGGCCTTGTGAAGCTTGGGAAGCCACTGTTGAGGCCTAGTGTTTCCTTGAGTGGAGTGTTTGCCAGAGCAGTCGGGGTGGGGCAGGAGGGCCCAGCTGAGAGAAGGGTGCAGTTTGTCCCCAGACTATTTCTTCATCTATGGTTGACCCTCCCCACCCTGCTTTGCTGATGCATCCTCTGCAGTGGGTAAAGAGCAGGAACTTTCAATCTTGCTGTGTGACTGATGGGGCATCTACCATGCCTCTGCTTGTTTAGCGTCCTTCACAGAAACCCATGAGAAATCTTTGGGGATGAAAAGGTAAGGAGCAAACCTACTGTTTCCTGTACACCTGACAGTGCCGACCTCACCCACTCTGTCTGCAGGGTGCGCTTGTAGGCGGGAGCCCTCAGCCTGAGGTGGGAGACCCCAGGGAACTGGCCTTGGGTGTGCTGCTGTCCCCTGCACCCCTGGGTGAGATATTCTCCTCTCTGTATGGAGGAGTCACTTGGGGGGGGGGCGCGGTTACGGGCTCATTCTCCCTTCTCTGAGTTCCCTTCCTACTCTAATACTCCTCGAACCCTCATTCACCTTTCCTTCTCTGAGTCCCCCTCCTAAGGCTTTGAGATGTGTAAACGTTGGACAAAGTGGGAGGTGCAGGGTGGGAGACTGGAGCCTCGGCCAGTGTCAGCCCAGCGGACCAACGCCCAGGAGTGGCCGGAGCTGCGGGGGTCCGTGCTGGCCACTAACGGGAAAAGTGCTAGCCCTCCCCAAGGAGGGGCTCTGACAGGCGAAATTCAAACCAGATGCGCACCAGAGCGAGCAGAGCCTATTACAAAGTGTTGTGAAACGGCCCAGGGGAGGTAAATAAGCAAAAACAGGCCAGTTGCCTAGCAGCGCCTACAACAAAACAAGCAGCCTCTTGGCTGGCACTGGACGGGCAGAAAGCTCTCTGCAGTGGGGGAGATGAGGCAGGAGGATTGAGTTGAGAGGACCTAGGGTGCCTCCTCCCTGCAGCCTTTCTCTGTCCCTCCAGGCCACTCCTGCCCCAGGGCGGCAGGGCAGTCATCAGATCTGTCCAGCCTGGCCCTGAGCTTTGGGGGCTGCTGAGCATCCTCTGCAGTGGGTAAAGCTGTCCATCGGGCCTTGTGGGCACTGTCCATCAAGATGAAGGTGACTCCCCAGAGAGGGGTGAATGATCCAGCCAAGATGGCTGTGTCTTGAGTGGGAGGACGAGGAAAGGGAGGTGAAGAAACAGGAATTCGAGGTACATCTCCCATTGATTCTAATAGCACAAGTACTATCATCCATTGACAAAGGTGGAGTAACTTACCCCAGGACATGCAGCCTCCTCGGAGGGGAGGTGAGTGGTGCCCACCCGTCCATCAAGATGAAGGGCAGAAGAGGGGTGACTCAGGGGTGAGAACAGGGGTAATAGGGGTCTGCACCCACTCCTGAGAACCATGTCCTGGCTGCATCCACTGGAAGAGGGGCGAGGGATTAGGGCCACAGAGACCTGCTGAACAGTCCAACACACCTGCTCCTCATCATGCATGCTTTCACACTCCCACTTCAGCATCTATGAACCAGGCACTGGGATGGCCTGGAATGGAAGCGCAAGTCAAAGAAAATCACTCCATGTTTGCAAAGGACCCATAGCCTATGAGGGAGGCAGCCACAAACAAGGTGTCACATGCTCAAATGTGTAACTGCAGAATCCCACTAGATGCTTTGCAGGAAAGAAAGGCATGAAACAGCAAGGGTCAGGCTGGATTTAGAGTGCTCAAGCAGGTCTCCCTTAGGAGAGGAAGTTGAGTCTTAAAGAAGTAGGTATTAGCATGGTGAAAAGAGGTGAAAGGGAGTCCCAAGCCACAGGGCCCTGAGGCAGGGAGAGCTCAGGAGGAAGTGGCCTGGGAAGAGGGACTGGGGAAGAGAGCGGAGAATGAGGAGGCGAATGGCCAGCCAAGGACACATGGCCTAGGCCTTGCAGAAGAAATCTGTGGGATTTGTCTGAAGACAATGACAAGCCCTTGGGATGTGTTTGTTGATAACTCACACAGGGGGCTGTCGCAGTCCTGAGCTGCTGAGATTCACAGTCTTAACAGATGACTCCTGACTACAACACAGCAATTCTGAAAGGGAACAAGAGAGGGCTTAAGGAGGCCAGTTAGGAGGCTAGGATTAACAGCAAAGTGAAAAGAAAGAAGTTCATAAACCAGCCCACAGTCACCAGCAGGGCTGGGAGCCAAGTCTAGACTTGTGTGGTAACAAGCAGGCTGGTGTCTGCCAGCTTCTGCCTCCCCACACTGACTGGTTGCTGGGGCTGTAGAGGCTGCCCTGGCTTCTGCCCAAGAGAGAGGTGCATCTCCACCCCACTGCCACGGACTAGAGGGGGTCAGCGACTACAGTAACTGTACTGCCTGGGCTGCCTTGGCTGCCACATACCTGCCCCCCCCAACATACCCCCCCTCCCCTTCCTTCCATTATGACTCTACTACACCCCACTCCCGGAGCAAACCATCCCCAGCTCTGGCCAGCTCCACATCCCTGGTGGTCATGAGAAAAAAACAACCCTAAGAAGTCCAGTGCTAGCCATGGAGAAGATTTGGATTCCTGCTCTGGATCTGCCTTGTACAAGCTGCCCCTCTGAGGAGGCTGCATGTCCTGGGCTAAGTTACTTGACCTTTGTCAATGGATGATAATACTTGTACTATTAGAATCAATGGGAAATGTACCTCAAATTCCTATTTCTTTATCTTCCTTTCCTCGTCCTCCCACTCAAGACACAGCTATCTTGGCTGGATCATTCACCCCTCCCTGGGGGGTCAGAGGACAGTGCCCACCAGGCCCGATGGACAGCTCCCTAACCTCTGGGAAAGATGCAGCAGTTCCCAGAGAGAGGAGCATCCAGATGTGTGTGGCTTGGATGAGAAGCAGGAAGTTGGCTGGCCCAGAAGTCTGCCTTCCTTGGGGGCAGTAGAAGAGCCCTCGACCCTGGAGAAGGCAGGACCTTATACGGGGGTGTCAGCTGGAGGGCATGGCACAGTGTGGAGGGGATATCTAGACTGCTGTGGCCAGTTCTCAGGCCAAGGGGAGGCCAGCCCTGAGGGGAGTCCATGCTGAAGACCTTGTGGAGAAGGGGGCGGTGGCAGCAGATGGCAGAAGGATGCCATAAGTCATGGCTTCCTGGTTCTGGATGTGCTGAGGCCCTGGCTGGGGCTCTGTGACAATCAATGACATCTTGTTTCTTGATCTTGGAAGGTGAAGGGTTCAGATCCACGGCCTTGTTGTTGTTTAACTAAAGAAACAATTTTCCTTGGACCTACAACTGGAATGCAACTCATACATGTTTTGAATTAAATGTGGATTTTTTTTTTCCCAGAACTTCTCAATATCCCTCAAAGATGGTGCATTTGGGGCAAAGCTGCCCTACACAATAGTGTTTTCCACAGCCCACCCACAGACGGGTGTCCCAGCCCACTGCTTTAGTTCTTATTTCTTCCACTCAGAGAAGTTCATCGCCCACAGGACTGTAGAATCTTTTCTAGCTTGCAGAGCCTTCTGAGGTTTGTCAGCAGTGGAGAACGAACAGGCCAACAAGCAAAACAGGACACTAGCTTTACACCCTGTACTGCCTGGCTGGTATCTAAGATGAACCCGTGTAGCTTAATGAAGAGGCGCCCAGCAGGTCCTCACACATACACCAGCCATACACACATACCCCCTCTCCAACCCTGGCCACCAAGAAGTAATGGACCTAGAAGTAATGACACCCCAGCAACAAACACAACAGAGTGTCCTGGTGTTGCTTTATAAATATGATTCTTTAATAAAATAAAGCCATTTTCCTTGAAGAAGTACAAGCTGAGTCTGGAGTATCTCCTAGTCTGGGAGGCTGAGGCAGGAGCCTGGCAAGTTCTAGCCCAGCTTGGTCAACTCAGTGACTTAGCAAGACCCTGTCTCAAATTAAAAAATAAAACTGAAAAAAGGGCTGGGTATGTGCAAAGGTTCTGGTTCATTCCCCACTACCATACACACATGTAGGGATGCATATCAAAAGGACACAGAGGACAACCTGTAAAAGCTCCCAGAGGCCACAGCTAGAACAATTTCAGCAACAAAATAAATAACAATTGTATTGGTGCAAACAAAAGAATGAACTAAATACACTTGCCTGGGGATGGGGGACTTGCAAACAACCTCATCAGACAACAGCCTCAGCATGCTGTACTGAGAACCCGCCTCCCCCATCTAACCCTGGCTGCTTCCTCCCTTAACCTCTTCTTGCCTTTGATGTCCTCAGACTTGCTCCACAGCAACATGCTGTCCCAGGCTCCTAGCAGCTTTCCTTCAAGTCTGTCTGTGCATGTTTGCTACCCACTTACACCCACCTGGGGTCGGCCCCCAAAGGACGCACAAGAGCATAGGTATCCTGGGAGTGAGCAGAGGGGTTGTTGTACTCCCCCACACTCAATCACCAGAGTGCTAACGTTCAGAGAAACAATCTTTGGGGAGGTATCTCAGTCCATTGTCTGTTGATAGAATACTGAGGCAGAGACTGGGTCAGTTGTGAGAAAATAGGTTTATTTAGCTCACAAGTCCAGAAGCAGGGAAACTCAAGATGAGGTGGCCACACCTGGCAAGTGTCTTGTGTCTTTTCAACTCATGGTGGAAAGAAGGGCAAGCAGGTGAGTGCAAAACACAAGGGGAAACAAAGGAGAATGGATGCTTTTTTGGAGGAACTTGGGATTAAACCCTGGGCCTGTACATGCTGGTAAATGCTCTACCACTGAACTACATCCCAGTCCTAAGGGATGAGATACTCCTTAACAGTCTTTCTCCAGTAACTAACCCAGTCTCATATCTATATTAATCATCTCATGAGGGTGGAGGCCCCATAACTCAAAGACCCCACCACCTCTCACTTTTGATGGGGACAAACCATGTCCTAGCCACAGCAGGAGATGATTAGATCCAAGGGTTCTGTCTTTATAATTGCCTTAGGAAAGAGACCCAGAGAGCTGGCTGTCTGGTTCCTTTCTACCAGGCAAAGACAAGGCTTCCAAGGCAAGAAGGCTGGTCAGCATGGTGAATGTCAGTGTGACAGGGTCAGCTGCAACCTGCGAATGGATTGGCCTTGGAGTAGCTTTGCATTCAACCTTATCTCCATCCTTGCCCCTCACCTTCTCACCAGTTCTGAGAGTTGGATATACAGTCACCAGGAACACAGAGTGCCTTTGTCTGAATTCCTCCCAGACACACACCACTTGATGACCATTGGAAAGAAGTACTTTCTGGCAGGCGGGACATAGCTGAAATCT